ACGAAAATCTTCGTTAGTAATATATCAACACAATGAATCATTTCAAAACTAAATTTGAATATATGTTTGAAAAACAAGAAATCAAACAAGAGACGAACAATGTTCAATAAACTTAGACGTCATACTAGAAACGGACTAAAAAACTCATGCACTCTGAAGCCATTTGCGCTTTAGGCTAAGAAAATAATTTTTTAAAAATTGTTGTTTCTAGTAGAAAAATAAACAGATGTGTTTGTCAAAGTTTTTAGACTTTTGGTGCATCCTCCTTAGCATGTTTTCTTCATGTTCTCCAACTGCATCTTTTGCTTTCCATGGGGGAGGGGTGCACATGCCACTTGTGTTCACCCCCGTTCTTGTACGTTCCTATTTTGGTCCCAACTTGAAAAATCAATAAAAAGTTACAAATAGCAATTTATTTCATCTATATAAGAAATGTTATGACTTCTGAAGGCACAATTATATTTCAAACGTTTCGCCTTTGTGAATGCATATAAAAAGTGATGTATTTAACTTTAAGTTATAAGTTATAAAAAGACTGAGCTCATTGTTTTATTTATTCTATTTCATCAAATCGACCCATTTACTTAATGCAAARCCGGCTTCATACTGAGCTTATTTGGGTTGCGTTTTTTGTGTTTGTACATGAACTTTGAATTATTTGTTGTTCATATATTAAAAAAATGTGTATGTTCAAGTTGAAAACTAAATAGAAGTGAAATATTAAAGAGTTCATATGATTTGCAAAATCCTAGTTTTAATCTGATCGATGATTTCTGCTTTTTCAATAAATGCGATGTCTTTGCTGTCTTGATGTACTTGTCAATCAAAATCTTTCGGCATTTTGTACCGAAAGGCCTTCCGAGGATCTCACCTGACAAAACTTAATGATTTGTTTGGTCCAGACGAAGTCCCTCCGCCGTCTATCAACAACTGCTGAATTAGCTACATTGTAGTTCTATCCTGTTGGTTATTCAGTTTTTCACTGTATTTTTTCTGCGTGTTATCTATAATTATGGAAAAACATATGTGAAATATAATTAACATCTAACTACCAAAAGTAGGCAYTTGCTTTGAGACCACTAGGCCAAACTATGCGGCGAATTTCCAGTATTCATATTCAAGGTGAGTTTATTAACTTTTGCGAGCCAAGCAGACCAATATATAGGTCTCCTTTTCACGAGTAGATTCTGGATCATTGCCTTATCTGATATCAACTACATCCATCCATTTCAAGTTTTCTTTTTCGTGTTTATATTTATCGTTATTCAGGTTCTCGGCTCTTAGTTTCCAGCGTTGTTATACCTTTTTTTACAATAAAATTGTACATGTACAAATTTGTACTCTAATACTGTCTTGAAGGTTGTACTGCGAAGCGGTAGTTTTTCGTTTTAAGTCCTATTATTAAATTGTGCTTGAAGTTCAGGTGCATGGTGTAGTAAATTTGTCGATGTCGATGAAAAAAGAACAAAACTTGAAGACAGTGTGTCAACAAGAGAACATATGCTCACTCTCATTCATCTAAGGCGTCTCTGAATCAGTTTTCTCTCATTATACCTTTATTGTCATAAAATAATATAATATAAGATGCCTAGGGAACAGGTACAAGCGTTTTATTTAGACTATACATCTTTGGAGATGCTATGTGATGATTCGTTTCCATAACACACATCAAATAATAACGATCAAACATGTAAAGATGTAGTTTGTTGTTGTTATATTGTTAGTGGTGGTGTTCTTTCTGTGACTTTTATCTAGTATGGCTGAAACTGAGTGTCCCCCCTTAAAACCATTTAGTCCCTTAAAATTCCAGCTGGACCCGCCCTTGGAGAGCACAGAAAGGCTATCATTCGCATAGCCTGTGTTCATTCGCATTGTGGAAAAAGATGAATCATTCCATAAACATCAAAAATTTGATCTGTTTTCGAGGGTATAGGCAAGATATGTACAGTAGAAAAGTAGCATTGAATAGCGGCTGCTTCACTTTCGCATATAATGAATACTCTGATATCTTTTCAGTTTTGATCGTCTTTTTACTGTCCATATTTAAGGAAGGTAAGCTTAATCATGCTCATTTCATTTTTTATCGCTTATTTGTTGCTTGCAATATAATGTCGTTCTATAACAAATGTCCATAGTTAGTAGAAGGGAATGTAGTCCCCTCTACTTGGTCTCCGCGCAGCCGTTCTTAGTGACGGGCACCCTGTCCACCGCCCCACTTTGGCACGGACAAAATATCGACTTTCATTACGCTGCATCTGATTGGCTTGGCGGTAACAGCGGAAGTAGACTATCATAACATGTGATTGGTTTATTCAAANAAGTATTGTACGAACGTCTCGACGAACTCATCTGAAGAAATTTGGTTATCTGGTGAGAGTGGAAGATTGGAATTGCAGCAAGGTGCATCCACTACAACTCCTGTGTTATTAGCGTTTACTAAAGCAAAAGGTATTTCATTGAAAATTCCGTTCATTGGTAAATAAAAAAACCCAAAAACATAAACCATGAACCAAAATTATGATAAAACTATGATAAAACACACTCTCAGTCTCGTTTTTTAACTATACTAAGAGAATTTCTCGTCTTTTGTAGTTGAATGTAGAACTACCAAAGTTATTGTCAAAAACATCTCATTAACGACTACWGCGGWGAGTATAATCAGCAAACCTCATGAAAACTCGACCTGTCTCACMTCTGTATGGCTCATCACTGCTCCTCCTGGACACTTMGCCACTGTCACAATTAGCAATTTAAGATTCACTGGTAAACCTTGTAATGTTGAAAGTCTTCAGATTTTTGATGGACTATCGTCTTCCGACAAACGAGTCAATAATTTCCATACAAACAAGAGTGGTGAAGTAATTTGGTTGACTGGTGTGAGCGGACGGTTGGAACTAAAGCAAGGAATTGGGACWTTCAGTACAGGCCCTGTACTTGAGATGGATGTAAAAGCTCTGGAAAAGCCAAAAGGTATTAATTAATAAGAACAATACACTACATATACCATGAACTAGAGGAAGCCCGAATATGCTTCTGGAACCATCAATGCATATAATAGCAGGATATATTTCAGTGCAGTTCCGGTGTTTCTCTTTTTCTATTGTTCTATTTTAAAATCATTTTGTTATAAACTGTTTTAGAGATAGTTATTTGTATGAACTGCTCATTCAGAAGCCAGTGCTTACACACTATACTGTGCATTGAACTAATTTAGTTAGCATTTAATTTAGGTCCGCATTATGAAAAAACGACCCCCCCTTCCCCCCCCCTATTTGTAAGGCAGCCTACGGACATGCAGTGCCCTTTTGATTTTGATTTTTTTTGTTCCTCTCATCAGCCTGTAACAATGGTTCAATTTTGAATCTGAAAGCATCTWCTGAGATCACCAATTTTACAAGCCCATATTACCCTATGTTCTACCCCATGTTCTGTCGGTGGCTTATCGAGGCTCCACAAGGGAAATATGTCAAACTGACATTTACGAAGATTGAAATTCATCGGTGCAATCAAGAAACTTTACATGTCTACGATGGTGACACTCAAACACCAGAAGATCTTATAAAGCAATGTCGTTACTATAGCATCAGCGGACGAATGCTACTTCTGGAAAATGAACCTATTTTTTCATATGGACGAAAGTTAYTGGTTGATTTTAAAGCGAATATTAATAAATACTCAATTTTCAAAGGTTTTACTGGTTTTTACACTGCTGTGGAGGGAGGTCAGTATGACTGTAATTAATGTCCATTTAACAAATTGCGCACGGTTTTGTTCAGCACTCAAGTGGGGCCATTCATAATCGCATTTGAACATTTTATGATCAGGAGTGTGTAAATAATAGAGCAAACAGTGATAATGGTGTTGATTGCATGGAGAAAAATCGAGATTACAAATTTCATGGGGTGTAGGGTTCTGGCATGGTGTATGGGATCAGTGTTGATCAGTGTAAGGTTGTAGCATGGTGTATGGGATCAGTGTAAGGTTGTAGCATGGTGTATGGGATCAGTGTAAGGTTGTAGCATGGTGTATGGGATCAGTGTTGATCAGTGTAACGGGTTGTAGCATGGTGTATGGGATCAGTATTAACTGATCAGTGTAAGATTGGTGAATCAAAGATCAAATGTATGATAATGATACACTGGATAAGGACGTCAACTTTCATCAGAAAATAAATCTTTCTATACTTTTCATACTTACTCGACTTATCATTCAAACAGGTAAACACTGTAGTCCTGGTAATGCAAATAACGTCAACTTYCCACCAGCGAGTGGTAATATYACCAGTCCAGGATTCCCAGTATCTCTCCCATCAGATGATAAGTCCTTAAAATGTYTATGGCGACTTAGAGCACCCAAAGGAMAAGTGATCAAAGTCGACCTTGATTCTGTTGCRCTMTCTGTTTCTCATTCAATTAATYWTTGCTMTTTGGACTTTTACACAAACATTGGACCAGAAGTTTACAAAATTGGAAATTACAAGTGTTCAGATAAGAACTATGTGTTGCAATCGCTTGTGTCAGATGGTCGACGAATGGAAATTCAATATTCACAAGYACTATTGTACTCATCAGTAAAAGGCGGATTCCATCTTCGGTACTCCATGGTTTCAATGTGTAAGTTTTTAGTARCTAAGTGTACTCTTTCCGCACAGTTCGTCTGAATGAAACTAGCAAAAATGAATGAAACTTTCTATATGGAAAGAGACGCACAAAAAAGTATTTGAATTCGATTTCCGCGAGTGTTTTTGTAATCATAAATCATTTTTTTTTTTATTGATAGCAAAAAATGGAAGCTGTAAAGCCAATAGCGAGGGAACAATTGATGTCCAAGGGGATGCTGGGGCAATCCACAGTCCAAATTATCCAAGATACCATCCTACTAACATGACATGTCGCTGGAAAATCCTTGTAAGTCCTGGCAATGTCATYGAATTGACTGCAAACATTAACCAAATTAACGGTAACTGCAGCATACAGTGGATTCGTGTCTATAATGGACATGACACTTCTAGTTCTGAACTGGTTAAACTTTGTAATATAACTACTAGCCTTCATACTTTCTTCTCTTCATCCAATCGTATCGTAGTTGAGTTTGTAACAAAAGGAAATACAAAATATAAAGGATTTTACATCACCTATGCCGCAAGAAAGGCAAAACCCAAGTCTTATGCTTGCTCAAAATCACGAGACATTAATGCTTCAAGTGGACAAATTGCAAGTCAAAGGTTCCCTCTTTGCTACTCTAACAATGTTTTCTGCCGAGAAACAATTGTACTACCAAAACTCGATTACCGTGTGAATTTGACTTTCACATCACTGGATATCGAGCCTGATGGTGACAAATGTGAAAAAGACTATGTCGAAATAAAATCACTTGGCAAAACACTGGCAAGGCTTTGTGGAAAAAAGACAACTCCATTTTCTATCATTTCAAAAAATAATGAAATGGAAATTACTTTCAGAACTGATGCTGTAGGGAGATACCCAGGATACGAGGCAACATTTACCAGTTTACAAGATTGTAAGTGGGAACCGTTTAGCTTTGTCGTCACTTTGTCAGTTTGAACATTCAGTTGTTTTTTGTATTGCTGTTTTGCTAATTTTGAATCAGTCAGGCGAATTATAACAGTCGATTTAATTAACTTTTCATCCATTCATCCACTCTATCGTTCAATAATCGGTTCGTACATTCGTCAGTCTTGTTAAAGTTAAAACTTTCTATGTCATTTCTCCTTTCATTAATTTGAGAGGGGATCGAGAGCCCCGACTTCTTTCTTCTTTCACGCTTTAGGGTTTTCGACTGTGCTATGTACTTTTCTGTTCAAGGCAAGGGCAATATCTCAATGACAATTCCAAGTGGAACCATTTTTACTCCGCGTTACCCAGACGGCTACCCACCAAACATCACATGTACATGGACGCTTGAACCTCCTAAAGCTAATTTCATTCGTCTAAGCATTGATAAACTTCAGATGAAAAACTGCAGTTACACGTCTCTCGAGATCCGAGATATTCAAGCAAACCAGCTTATCGCCCGTCTTTGTGGACGCTCTGAGAGACCGCACRTTTACTTTTCGTCGTCTGGATCTGGTCTGATGATCCAATTTGTTTCATCAGACTCCGCGACTACTGGTGGCTTTACTGCTCATTACGAAACAATTTCRCAGTGTAAGTAAAATTACGATATCAGAACACATTAACATATGGCCTATGGAATGTCATTGGTCAAAAATAGATTAGTCAAAACTTTTTTCAAGKTGTTTGGGAKAGCATGTTACCAAGCATAATCTCTTGTATTTTAGCCTTGTAACGCATCTAACACTGTATTGTCCGTCTRCCCAACACTAYTCGTGTTGCATTATGGTATAGACGAGTCGGATGCGAAGGGAGGCTACGTGTTCAATGGTCATTTTAGAAGGAAGAGCTAGGCTTAAATCAGTACCGGTGAATTGTTTCTCATGTGAAATATTCATCCAAATAAGAAAGTAAAAATTTCTCTTTCTTCCACATGCAGTACCTCAATCTATCTCGTGCGGGGAGACTTCTCTCAACCGTAAGCTAAAAGGGTCTTCCTCGGGCTCAATTGCAAGCTACGAGTATCCTCTCAAATATCAAAACAATGTCGAGTGTACCTGGGTGATTTCGACTTCAGGAAGTCACATATTCAACATCAAGTTTGATTTCATGGACATTGAGCCCAGCCCTGGTTGTAAAGATGACTATGTTCAAGTTAGAGATGGTGAMTMCAGMWTTAGYRAATCCTTRGGAAAGTTCTGTGGCTCMACAAAACCAGATTCATTCRAGTCGAGTGAAAGTTCAATATTCGTGGAATTYAWAACCAATGGSRCTGGACAATATGGTGGTTTTAAACTATCTTACGAAGAMACTWGTAAGTGAAAATTTAGCAAAAAGAAACTGGCTTTCACTAATATAGTCAAAGCTATTTTATAAGTAACAACTAYGTGAAGTATGTGAGCTATGTGAACTATGTGAACTATTTGAGTTATGTGAGCTATGTGAATTAGGTCAAGTTTCCCAATCTTTG